TCTCTGTCTCCATATGGCTGATTTAGGCTGGAAAAATAACTCATTACAATTTCTTTTCTTGGATTTCCTTATCTGGATTTGGTCAATGGAACAGATTACATACATGAGACCGAGAAGCAACTGAACATAATAGCACGGCATTCAATAAACCCAAAAACTACTGGTATGGTAAAAATTACTAGTTTAGTGACAATTGTCATATGAGTTGTGGAAAGACAAGAACACTAATGCACTGTCAGTAAAGCCATGTAGTTGTCCAAATGTTCTGAAAAAGCAATTTGGAACTATGCTCAACTAAAACATGCCTACCCTATGACCCAGCAAGTGATATCACTATTTGGAATAGATCCCTGGGAGGGCAAAGAAAGAGAGAAAAGACCCATATGTACAAAAACATTTGCACTATATGAAATAATAAAAAGAACAGATCCAGAGAAAACTGGTTTGAGAGAGTTTGAAGCATAATTGAGAAAGTAGAGACACACTTTCCAGATAGATATAGATAACCCTGGGCAAGTCACTTAACCTGGATTGCTTAAAAAAAAAAACAAGCAAACAGATAGATATGGATATATAGAGATAGTCATTCGAGAGAGGAATCAGTTTTGAGGGATGGGATCCCTGACAGCAGAGAAGAGAGCTGCCTATGGAGAGGTGGCTGGGGCATAATATAAGTGACTCAACATGAGGGTGGGTTGGAAAGTCAGGCAGGGGTGGTGGCACAAAGATACCTTCTAGAAAAGGCTATGGACAGGGCTTAGGTGGTACAGTGGATAGAGCTCCAGCCTTGGAGTCAAAAGGACTTGAGTTCAAATGTGGCCTCAGACATTTGACACTTACTAGCTGTATGACCCTGGGCGAGTCACTTAACCCCAATTGCCTCACCAAAAAAAAAAAGGCAAAAAAAGAAAGAAAGAAAGAAAGGGCTATGGACAGTGAGAGGGGAAGAAGATTGGATTTACAATGTAGAAAAGGTTTCTCCTCACTGTTCCTCTAACATTAGCAACCCTGTGTTCCTGGCCCTCCTCTCCATGGGCTATACCTTCTTCACCCCTAAGACACACTGATCCTGGGATACTCCTCTGCTCCCCACTGCCATTTCTAGACTCTCCCTTTCCCACTCATTTTTTTTTCCTATCTCTTTCTATAATACCACCAAGCTCCCAATTCCTAGGCTAGAAATTTCTAAGTCATCTATCAACTTTCTCTTTTCCTTCCCCATCCCCACAGTCCTTGCAAAGGAATCCTCCAATGGTGTACATGGACAAAAAATATTCCAACAGTCTGTCACCATTCAACAAATACTTAGTTCCTATGATGTACTGAAAGCCTTGTAGAGAGAAGATATGTAACCCTAGGCCAAGCTCAGGATGGTTCCCTGAAAACTACACCAAGGTTCAAGGTGCTTTTTGGAAAACAGACAATTCCCCAGAAAGACACAGTAGCACAAAGTCCTAAATATTCCCATGATAAGTGGGAGAGAAAATGTGTAGTCAATTCAATTTCATTTCCCACCTGGCTGCTCTCCTGGACTTCATGATTTCCACAAACTCATCATCATGAAAGGTGAAATCTACTCACACCCCCTCAAACCATTTCCCCCCCCAGCTGCAGGATTTCTTCATTCCTCTTCCTGGAGTATCCTTCCTCCTACCAGTAAGCTACTTTTTATGTGTTGTATCCCTCATTGATAATAATAATAATAATAATAATAATAATAATAATAATAACTAACATTTATATAGAACTTACTACGTGCCAGGTACTGTCCTAAGCACTTCACAGTTATTATCCCATTTGATTCTCACCACAACCCTGGGAGGTAGGTGCTGTTATTATCGTTTTACCGATGGCAAACAGAGGTGAGGTGACTTGCCCAGAGTCACACAGCTCTAATAAGTGTCTAAATGTCTTCCTGACTCCAAGTCCAGCTCTCTGTCCACCGCACAACTCAAGTGCCACCTTCAAGAAGACTGCATTAGATTGTAAGCTCCTTGAAGATAGGGACTCTTTCTTTGTATCCCCAATGCTTGGCCCAAAGGAGGCTCTTAATAAATGCTTATTGACTGAAACTCTGAATTCATGCTCCTATGGTGATGTTCCAGCCTGCAAAGCTACTGCTTGCGGCTTCCCGCCCCCGAGCGATAAGGATCTGTTTATGCGCCCTCACTGAGCTGCTACCTGTTTCTACGATGTTACTGCCATCTGCTGTTTACCAGGAAGCTGCCAATTGCCATTGGCTGTTTCTCCACTCCACCACTACAGCAATATGCTGTTTCTCTCCAGAGTTTGCACTGCCTAAATGCTGCTTCTCCACTGAATTGCAGCTATTGGGAATCCTTAATCAATCTATCAACAAGTATTTTGGGTGGCTGTTTTTTGGGAAGTCAGTCGCTCCTTATGCTGAACTAAAATCTTTCTCTCTGTAATTTCTACCGGGGAGCTAAGCAGAATAAACGTAATCTTTCTTCCCTTATGCTATCACTTCAAATATCTGACGATAGTGACCCCAACCCTCATCCCTACCCCTGCCTTTTTATCTATTCTTCCTCGGGAGACTCTGCAGCTTCTCAATTCCCCTCCTAAAATAGGACGCCCCACACAGTGGACATGACACTAGACAAGGCAGATTAAAGCAGTTCTGTAATCTTCCTATTTCTGGACATTTTACTTCAATTAATGCAACCTAAGATGGCATTGGGAGGGTGTAGGAGGGAGATGGGAGGAGCTGCTCTACAACAATGATGACTTATGTTTGCTCCAAGATGATCAAGTCCTTTTCACATGAAAAGCTGTCCAGCCAGGTCGCCTTGATCCTGTCTAGACTTTCTCCATGAAGCCTTCATAAAGTACTCTAAGCCCTTGGATTTCTATCTCTCTTTTCTGAATAGACATGTAGCACTTACTGGCTATACCTCTAATTCTGTCATTATACTATGCAACCTCAGATTGTAGTGATATAACTATCATGGACCTTTGGGAGGTCAGGATCCACAATAAAAATTGGGCAGAGATACAGAAATCTTATGAGAAAATTAATGGTGTAGGTTGCAATTAAATGGAGCAAGGATATATATGTTGAGCACATCACAGGAACAAGACAATGCATAAAGTGAATATATATGGATAACTTTTTTTTTACTATTTTAGCAAAGTATAATTACTTTGATTTTTTTATTTAATCGAGAAGTAATTTTACTACTTACAGAGATATTGTTCTTGTTCTCATATCCTGTGATTATGTATATAGTTTATTTCATTTATCATGTATTATTTTTATTTATTAAAATGGAATTTTATTATTGGAATTATTGTAATGTGATGGTGGTTGAGTATTTGCTTTTTAAAATATTAAGTGAATATATTCAAATTATCTTTATAGTTCTGTTTCCTCAACTAGATTATAAACACTCTGAAGACAAGGTACTATGCTTCCTGAATTCCTATATTTCCCTGAATCTCTTGGCACCTGGCTCAATCCTCAGCACAATGCCTTTGATATTTTTTTTCCCATCCAATGACTGGTTGTTAATAATGAATAATCTTGATTTGAGAATCCAATAAATTTCTATTCACATCAAAACTGTTACAGTAAATGGATTTCATTGCCATTGCAAAACACAAGGAACTCAGGAATATCTTTGGGAACAAATTTGGCTTTTCTTAGATTGATATGAAAAGTGAATAAAGTATCATATTTAATCAGTAATAACTTTTCTTGGATTGATGTGAAAAGTGAATAAAGTATCATGCCTAATCAATAATTAACAAGGCCCAGAAAAAGTCAAGCTTACCTATATGAAAATGTCTTTCAATTGAGCCTACAATGCAAGCCATTCAGAATACATGGATGGAGGCTATACTAATTGTATTTTTAAAAAATGGGCTGAGGAAAAATACAAAAGATTGGTGGTCATCACAGAAGTAACCAGAGGCTGAATCTCTTGTCTTGTGGAATTGTAAAGGGATTCTTTAATTGGTTGTATCCCTAAGATCAGAACATTTAGAGGCAGAAGACACCTAAAGCATCTAATCCCTTGGAGGCATTTTACAAATTAGGCAGAGACTTGCAGTCACGTTCCCTGGGTCATACCGATAATAAACAGGAGCTGAACATTTGATTCCAAATCTGGTTAGCCTGGTTGATCCCAACCACTGGCATTTATTAAATCCTTTACTGGAGCTACCACTATGTGGAGACATATTCTTGAATAAATACAGGTGCTATATACAAGGTGAGAGGTTGGGCAGTAAGAACTGGGGGAATCAGGAAAGGCTTCTTAAACGTGGCACTTGAGCTGAGCCTTGAAGGGGCTTGCAAGAGGTGGATGTGAGGACACACCAAGCCGGTCTGTCACTGTTTCCGTGGTGACCAAGAGTGAGGAGCAAGAATAATAATATTAACAATAGCTGTCATTCACATAAGCACTTTTAAGGTTTTCAAAGCATTTTAGAAATAGTCTCTCATTTGGTCCTCACAACAACCCTAGGAGGCAGGCGCTATTATCATCCCATTTTACAGATGAGGAAGCAACTTGCAAGGGTCACACAGTTAAGTGTCTGAAGCGGGATTCGAACTTGAGTCCCCTGACCAGGCACACTATACACCACGTGGTCTAGAGCAGCTCAAAAGGCAGAGGGAGGAGGCGAGGCGAGGACGAAGGAGAATTTCACAAATTAATAGCCCACCACAGGGCAGCACCACCCAGCCTCCAGACTCTCCTTTCGTGTCACGTGCATGATGTCGCTCCGCCCCCGCGGAGAAGGGACCGCCCGAAGGCCTCAACCTACTTGGACCCCCACCACGGCTCTCAGGGCCGCTGCCCCGCGTGGCGCTGCTTTCCTTTCCCTGGACTGAGGTTGGGGGGCGGGGAGGGGGAGGAGCTAAGCGCGGGGTTTGCACGCTCCATCCTCGCGGGTGGACGGGGGGGAGGGGCAGGGCTCGAGGAGGCTGAACTGCTTCCTACTTCCGGCGGGCGCGTGGGCTGGCGGCTGGGGGCCGCGGGGCGCGCGGGGCACTTCCCTCTCCCTGGCGCGGCCTTTAGATGTCGAAGCGGGGAGGAGGCCCTTGTCTCCATGACGGGGAGAGGGGCAGAGACTTCTCGGTCGTCCCGAGTCCGCGGGCTGATTCTTGGCCTTGTTACCATTTACCTCACAGTCCCCAGGCTGGTCTCCGTTCGTGGTGTTTGAATGTGGAACGTAGTTTAGAGACACTAAAATTCGACTCCCTCATTTTCCCGAGGAGGAAACTGAGGCTTGTTTAATGAAATCAAATAACTTGCACTGGGAGTTTAGGAGAGTTAGGTTTTGAGCCCAGAAGTTCAAAGGTGAACCTTCACAATTCAGATCTGCTTAATCTGCAGTGGGAGAGCTGGTTAGGAGTCGGTAAGGCCAGAGGCCTTCCAAGCACGGCTTTATTATCGTAAAAGCAAACGAAGGAAGCAGCTCAGTACAGTGGTTGGTTGGGTGGAGGGGAATGGGGACCTGCTTAAGTCAGAGCTGAAGAGGGAGTAACTTAGACTTCCGCCTGCGCTGTACTGGGTCTTCCAGGTGGCTATCTTGAAATAGCTATACTTTTACTCTCGAGAGTCATCCATTACCATATTCATAAGATGTAAATGAGACTTTGACATCACAAGTTACTCTGGGACATTGAGGAGTCTTATTGTGCTTGCCTGGTATTGGGAAAGTTCCTAGACCACAAAGTCGCTGGTGATCTGGTAGGCTGTGGAGTGGTGGGTTGCCTATTCAGCATATAGCGGAAGTAGCTGTCTGCTCAGCATATAAAGCTAAGAATATAGAGGAAAGGGTTGCCTAATCTGGATATAGGGCCTCATTGCTCTGGGGAAAAAAAATAGGACTTTGCTGTTCCTACTCCAGATCCAGAAAGCAAGCAGGCAAGATTCCTTTTCTGAAAACCACTGTCCCTTAGAGACTGAAGGACAGGGCTTCTTTTTTTTTTTTTTTTTGCAATTGGGGTTAAGTGACTTGCCCAAGGTCACACAGCTAGTAAGTATCAAGTGTTTGGTGTGAGGTCGGATTTGAACTCAGGTCCTCTTGACTAAAGGGCCGCACCACCCACTTAGCTGCCCCCTCCCAGCTCCTTTTATATGTATGTGTGTGTATGTATATGTATATATGCACATATATATATATATAGCCAGTCACCTAAATAAGTATGTGTGTGTGTGTGTGTGTGTGTGTGTGTGTATATATATATATATATGTATATATATATATATATATATGCATACTTTTTTTTTACTTTTTTGGTCAGTTTTGCAACATGGGTAATACAAAAATGTTTTACGTGACTTCATATGTATAGTCGATATCATTGTCCTGTCTAGGAGGGAGGTAGCCTGGGAGGGATGTAGAGAATTTGGAACTCAAAAAAATTGTTTTAATGATTTTTTAAAAATTTACATGTAAATAAGTATATGTGTATATGCACATATACTAATTTAGGTGACTCATTTATTTACCCAAAAAAGCACAGCTTCAAACAAAAAAAATCTTGCACCAATATAAACCAATTAGTTTGTGGTTTACTATACAGTTATGTTAGTACATTTGTATGTCAGATCATCAGATTTGCCCATGGCACCAAGTCAGGAAGGATAGCTAACACACTGGTTGAGCCAGGATCCTAAAAGATCTTGGCAGATTAGAGCCTTGGGCTGAATCTGATATGATAAAATTCAGGAGGGATAAATGTAAAGTCTTGCACTGAACTATAAAAATAAATCAACTTCACAGGTACAAGATGGAGGGAGCACGGTTAGTTGGACAGCAGTTGTTCTGAAAAAGTTCTGGGGACTGAAAGCTCTATATGAATCATCAGTCTGATGTGGCCACCAAAAAAAGCTAGTGAAATCTTGAGCAGCACTGAGAGCTTAGATTCTAGAAACAGAATGATGTTGATGTACTACTTTGCCCAAGTGTCATCTAGTAGTATATTCATTTTGAGGGAGGAAGACATAGGACTTTGATGAGCCGAAGAGCGTCCAAAGTGGGGCAACCATTGTTGTAGTTGATTGTCCTTCAGGGAGGTAGTGCTATGACATGCAAGTGAATTGGAGGAGGGCTGTGAAAAGTCACTTTCTCATCGGGAGCCAGTCAGATACAGATCGACAACTGGAGGTGGCGCTGGATGCAGTGCAAGCAGTCAGGATGAAGAAGGGACCTTAAGTCTATATCATATGGAGATCCAGTGAAGGAGTTAGGGATGTTTAGCCTATAGGAGAGGGAAGACTCAGGAAAGACGTGAGAGTGGTTTTCAAGTATTTGAAAGCTTGTAATGTGATTTGTTGGATTTATCTGTGGAGGTCAGAGCTAGGAATAATAGATGAGAGTTGTGGAGGTGGGGCAGCTAGGTGGCGCAGTGAATAGAGCTCTGGCCTTGGAGTCAGGAGGACCTGAGTTCAAATCCAGCCCCAGACACCTAACACTTACTAGCTGTGTGACCTTGTGCAAGTAACTTAACACATTGCTTCACCAGAAAAGAAACCAAAAAAAAAAAAGCAAGTTGCAGAGAGTCAAATGTAGGCTTAACAATTAGAGCAGTCCAAAAAAATGGAATGAACTTGTTGGAGAGGTAAATTTCCCTCTATAGAAGTCTTTAAGCAGAAGCTAGATTTTGACGTGCTAGGTTGTTAGAATATTCCCCACTACTTCTAGGTAGATTAGGTTAGATGGTCACTGAAGTCCTTTCCAGCTCTCACATTCTGTGATACTATAATTCTTATCATAGATTTAAGGGCCTTAAGAGTCCATTATAATCCAGCCTCATTATTTTACAGATGAACTGAACTCCAGAGCGGTTAAGTAATTTGAATTAAAGTCCAGAGAGGTTGAAGTCAGAAGACAGCTATTGTTAGAACTGAATTTTAGACTAAAATATGAAATTTAGTATAAAGATACAGATAGCTATAGTCTATGATTCTCTCGTGGATGCTGCTAAACCGCATTGCACAGGATTTTCTTTTCTTTCATCAGCTTGGTTATTTTATGCTCAATTTGTTTTTTTATATGAACATAGCCGAGATATTGATTACGTACATAAAAACTTCAATGTTTTGTGTATACTGTACCACAAAGTTGTTGAGAGATACAGTGTTATGAAAGGAAAAACAGGTTGGGAATCAGGAGACCCAAGTTATAGTCCGGGCTCTGTCATTAACTGCCCGTGATTCTACCCATTCTTAAGCTGTTTTCCCAACTATAAAGTAGAAGAGGGAAGGGGAAAGCCCAGACCAACTGACTTCTAAAGAACTTTCCAACTCAAAATCATTTGATTCTATGGTTTTGCATGTGGAGAAGAACCAACCAACCTTTCTCTTTTAAATAACTTCCATGCTACTTACGGCGTGTGTTGGACCAGATGACCTGTAATATTCCTTCCCATTCTTTAAATGTAGATTTAGAGCTTCCTTTTGTCTGAAAAATTCCTCATGTGGACAAGTCCAAACATAAATAAGGACCATCTGCCTATGTTGTATTTGCAGAATTACCTCTGTAGAACTGCAAATAGTGCTTATATACACATATAATGTCTTTTATGTGTCTAAAGACCGTGAATTCATCTTCAATGAGAAAATCTAGATTGACGGGAAATGAGATTGTGCTCTGATGAATGCATACTGATTACTTTAAATAAGAGTGTTAGTGAAAAGAAAATTATACTGCGGGCCAGGAGACTTGGGTTCTTATTATGCCTCTACTACCATCCAGCTGTATGACCTTGGGCTTTAACTCTTTAACCCAGGGGTGGGAAACCTACCTCCAGGCCACCTGTAGTCCTCTAGGTCCTCAATGCAGCCCTTTGACTGCATCGAAACTTCACAGAATAAATCCCTTTAATAAAATGATTTGTTTTGTAAAACTTGGACTCAGTCCAAGTCTAGGTCCTTGAATGTGGCTTTTTGACATACATACATATGCACACATACATATAAAATCAGTCATATATAAATATATGCACTGCTTAATACTAGTGCCTTCTCTTTGAGATTATGTTCAGTTTATCCCTGTATATATCTTGTTTGTACATAATTGTTTATATGTCATCTCCCCTTCTAGATTTTGAGCCTTTTGAGGGAATGGATGTTTTTTTCCTTTCTTTTATCCCTACTGCTTAGCACAGTACCTGACTCACAATACACTCTTTGTATATGCTTGTTGACTTGACATACTGTCTTTTTCAAGATGAAGAATAATACAACTTTTTGCCTCCTACCTTTGTGTTGTATGAAATTTTTATTTTTAGGGTATTTTCAATAGCGTGTTACATGTTTTTACAGTTTCCAAGCTTTAGCAAGTTTTCAACAATGTTGTTACTTTTCAAGTAAGCAAATATATCCTTGATGAATTTTAATCTACAGAAATTTAAACACTCTTCTATTCACATTTGAAATTTCAGGAGCTATTTTTCTATGTTCTGTTGCTTAACAGGTATATAGTGTCTTTTTTCACCTCAGTTAATCGAATAATATGCTGAACCCTACCCAGCAACTATCACTGGGGGACAGAAAGAAATAGAAGATACTATAGTACCTGCAAAAAAGGAATTTACAGTGCAGTTTGGACAACAGAACACAGGAAAGAACACAGCAAGAATTGAAGACACTTTATATTATAGAGTAACACGTTAGCAAATGTAAGTTAAGATAGAATTTACAGTATATAACTATTGAGTAGTCATGTAGAGTTTAATCATGGAAAGTTTCCCAGAGGAAATTAGTTTCAAGGCAGGTTGCAGAGGTGAGGGACATGAATTGATGAGGGAGAGGCAATATGTGGGAAGATACAGAAATGAGAACTAGAAAGTTTCAAGAACTGAATATGGCTGGAGCTTCTGTTCTTCTGAGTTATATTTGTGGAGCTGTAAGTGATCTTAGTGGTTATCTAATCTAATATCTTTACTCTGTAGATGAGGACTTGTCCAAGATCGAATACGTAATAAGCCTATCTGACACCAAAGCTGGTATTTTTCTATTGTAATATACTAGAGAATAGAGGTTAGTGAGGTACTGGTTGGTCTTGAATGTTGTGGAGTCCACATTTGATCAAATACATCACTGAATGTGCTTTGCCTCAGACAAACTGAGATCTGGGAAAGACTTTAGCTTAAAAAGGCCAAGGTTTCGCATTGCATCCCAGGCCAACTCCAGTCCTCCTGATCTATATCTTGCCACTGGACCCAGATGGTTCTGGGGCTGGTGACTTTGCATAGCCCTGCCTCACTTAAATCTAATTCACTTGTAAGTCATGACATCACCTTCCTCAAAGTCACGGTACTCTTTGAGAATGAAGAACAAAAAATAAGGGTAAGAGTCTCTGCTAAAGAAGAAGTCAGATAAGCAGGACAGCTTTTAAAGTAACGTTGAATTTGTTATATACTTGAAAAGCTCTACGCAATAAAGAATTGCCATACTGTATCGATTTTCTTTTATGGTGTAAACAGAAATGCTCATTTTATTTGATGTTTCTTAAGAATTTGTTTTAAAAGGTATATGGGAAATGTGTGCTCTTCCTCCTTTTCTTTTAAATTGTAAATTGAGGAATAGCACTAAGAAATAAATGAGCTACCATTTAAAGAAAAAAAAATTTCTAAGGTTTATTTACTCCGAAGCAGAAGGCACGGGTGTGGCCATCTTAGAAGTTCTGATAACTTTATGTTGGCCAAGTCCCAACAATTTGAACTTAGTCCTGTGTACTGTGGAGTAACTGGTAAGTAATTTTAGTTTTCCTGCTTTCATTATGTCTTCTTTGGCTCTTCTGTATGAGATATTCACTTATAGATGCTTAGGAAGCCCTTAGAGTTTAATAGACTTGAGTTTAATGTGTTATAATTATATTTATCCTAAGTGTATACTCCATCTCCTCTGTGTCTAACATAGATTGTGAGACCCCTGGAATTAGTTATCTAGTTTGTTATGTACAGTATTATCACTCAAAGTTAGAGAAAGGAGAAAAAAAATTTTAAGAGAAGTGATGGCTACTGTTCTATTTTCCTTCTCAATACTAACAATTGGATGAATTAATTTGTCATTTTTTTCTGTTAAGATTGTGTTATTTTAATATGGAATTAAGATAAATTAAAAAATATGTAGGGAAATATGAATAATATATTTAAAATGACAGTAATTGGACTGGTCTTGTTTACAATAGTCTGAATGGGCAAGGATAGTCACAACTTTTAATTAAGACATGGAGCTGTTAATTATGAAGTCACTAAATATAACAAGTAATAGCATTTCTATTGTACACAAAGAAACCAATTATAATGAAATGACAAGATAAGTATTTCATAGTGTGAAAAAGAGTAAATAAAGTTCCTTAAACCTTTATCATTCCACCTACAGCTTTCTTGTTCTGTTCTTATCATCTCTTGCCAAAAAAAAGTCCACTTTAGCCTTTTCTCCCAGCCTTGAAAGAAGTTGAAACTGTTGTTGTAGATTCCTGTGAATTTGCTAATTTTATTTCCCATGACTAAGAAAATATTGTATTTTGTTTTTACTTTCTTTTGGACTTAATTGCTGTAATTTCGATGTTATCCCACATCTTATGCATTTCATTATTTTTATGGTACTGGTTTTTCTACTTTCTTAAAATCTGGAAAATTAATTATATAACTACCTTGTGCTTTCTCTCCCTCAATGCTCAGTTCTAAATGAACTCTCTAAAGTCTTCATATCAGTGTTGTGGAAGAATATTCTTTGAAGATAAAGTATTTAATCCCTCTCCCCACTTTCCCCTTGAGACAAAGTGACTCTCTAGACATTAACACATAACCTAAATCTCCAGAAAAGGTATTTTAAATTTGGGAACTATAATTGATTTCTCCTATCTACATAACTCCCAATTCAATGCATGTCAGGATGGTATAGTGGAATGATGAGACCTGAATTTGTAGAAAGGAGCTGGGTTAAAATTCTGACTTTGCTGTTTACCACTTGTGTGATCTTAACTTCTTTAAGTCTGGGTTTATTTGTAAAATGAGGAAGATTAGGGGCAGCTAGGCGGTGCAATGGATAGAGCACTGGCCCTGGATTCAGGAGGACCTGAGTTCAAATCCAGCCTTGGATACATAACACTCACCATTGCCTAGCCAAAAAAAAAAAGAGGAAGATTGGATTAAATGCTAATGACTTGAGCTGAGGCTCAAGATATTATGAACACTTACTAAGCACCTAGATATTTCCTCATAAAATAGCTTTATACGGCTTTTCACTGTGAAGAAGTGAGACACTCTACTATGTCAACTTTTACTGACCCTCTATAGTGCAGGAGTCCAGTCTGTGAGTCGAAGGTCCTTGATCCTCTAGCATTTCACTGCAGAAGTCCAAAAGAAAGCAACTGGGGCTCTCTCTCTACCCCTCCTCTTTTTCTTGTTGCCTAACTCTTACTTAGGAAATAAACTTTTCCAATATTTTTAGGAATTTACATAATCTCTAATTTAGCAATTCTTTTTGTAAAAATCATTTGAATGAATGCATTGGATTTTGTATGTGTATTTTAGAGGAAAAAGACTTCTGTTTGTTTTTTAAGGAAATAGTTTACTCTCATTTACCCTAGACAATAGGGAAAAACATGAAAAACTTAAATCCACATTTAATCTGAAAACTTAAGACAAAAATTTCAACTTTTTAGATAATCAGATTTATCATCACAACTTAATAGTAAATTTGACTACCTTATCACACTTGCTAATCTTCTAGTAGAAGTACAAATAAACTAGTTATAAAAAGTAACTTCAGTAGGGAAAGAATAATCTAGGTAGTTTAAGAATCCATAAGCCAGAGCAACTGATTATTGGGTTGTTGCTTCTTTTGTTTGATAGACCTGTATGCTTGTCTATCAAGCATGATACATAAAGAATTTAATGGCTTTTCAAAGTTTGTTTTTGGACTGAACCATTAAAAATTTTATTATTAATGTCTTATTTTCAGCATGGCACAGTGGAGAAGGAACAGGTCTGACTTTCAGTCAGAGACAGTGGTTCAAGCCCTGTTTCAGACATAAAGTTGCTATTTGACTCTGGGCAAGTCACTTTATCTTTTCAGTGGGCTCAGGAACTCTCTAAACTCTCCAAATTGCAGAGCAGGTTCTGAATAGTGGGTAGGATTTTGCTCATAGGAAGCTCACAGTGAAATCATGAGTCTGGTCTAAAATATTTTGTTTTTATATCACTTTCATTTCTTTATATAATGTCTACCCTTTCCCCTGCCTGTCAAGCCATCTCATAACAAACAAATAAATAAATAAAAGATAAAAAAGCAACTCAGCAAAACTAACATGTCAATCAAGCTCAAGAATTCTATTTTTTCTTTCTTGTTTATTCAATCAAGTGTTTGGTCTAAGGCTTGGATTTGAACTCAAGTCCTCCTGATTTCAGTGCTGGTGCTCTATCCACTGTGCCACCTAGCTGCCCCACTATTTTTTAAATGAAGAAAGGGAAGTGCATCCTCTTACCTCTCTCTGAGGGTTAATTTAGTCATTATAATAGTATAGTGTTCAACTTAGTTTTATTTAACCTCTTTTAAATATTTTTTCCTTAGGTTTTTGGAGAGAATTTCTGCCTGTGATTGTATTTGGTCAAGTTATGAAAGATTCAAAATAGGGATCTAAGCATTGCTTTTATTTCACAGCATTATTATCTTAATATTTAGTCCTTATTACCAGCCCATCTTTTATCTTGGAATTGCTAGTTATTTTTTATGTATCAGCAATCCACCATTAAAGTCCTGCTGCAGTGTTTCTTTGTTACATGGTAGAGCTCAAGCTCTAGAAAGTTGTATTAAGTTGGAAAGACTTCAAGTACAGGCCCCCGTGATGGATTCTGTGTTTGTCATACAAAGACTAGTCTAATTAAGCTTGGAAAGGCTTATTACCAGAAGGTTGGCCAACAGCTGAGAAAAATTTTGGCCCCAGAAACTTTTATTCTAAAAATATTAATACAGTTTTTAAATAATAAACACTTCCCAACAAATATCAAAACACCTCCCCATTCTCCCCTTTCAAAAAAAAAAGCACATTCCCTAAAATCCACTTACTAATAACAGAATAGACATGTCCTTTAATTTTGACAATATGTTACTAATGTTGACCTTTCTATTTGACTGAAATTTCGTTGCTTCTCATTGTCAAAAGATCACAGATTTAGAGCTAGAAGGGAACTTAAATTTCATCTATTCAAATCTCCTCTTTAAAAGGGAAACTGAGAAGGGGCAGCTAGGTGGCACAGTGGATAGAGCACCAGCCCTTAAGTCAGGAGGACCTGAGTTCAAATGTGGCCTCAGACCAAACACTTGACACTTACTAGCTGTGTGACCCTGGGCAAGTCACTTAACCCCAATTGCCTAAAAATGAAAAAAAAAATTTAAAAAGGAAACTGAGGCCCTGAGAGTAATTTGACCAAAATCACACAGCAAGTCAGTAAAAGATTTCTTCTTATAAGTAACAATGTTCTAATAAAAGTATTGGTTAGAAAAATTACAAGTAAATACAAACTAAGTACTTTTATAATTACTTTTAAAACTCCAAATTTTACTTCTCTTATGCCTTGAATTCACAACTTCTGTTTTCTTCCTTTTCCTCCTTCTCTTCTAGCTAATTCTTAATTTAAAGGAAAACACGCTAATTGCTTCTATAACACTTGCGAGCACTAACTGTCCTTAATTCCTCCCTGCCAAAGACTATGGTCTGGAATAGTGGTTCTTAAACCTTTTGGTCTCAGCAGCCTTTTACCTCTTAAAAGTTATCAAGAATCCCAAAGAGCTTTTATTAATATGGTTATATCTACCAACATTTTTTGTCTTAGAAATTAAAATTGATGAAAATTTTAAATGTTCATTTATTCATCTCAAATAACAATAAACCTATTCCATGTTAACATTAATATTTTCTATGAATAACTTTTCCAAAACAAAAATAATTAGTTTTTTACTGAGGATGTTAGTGAAGAGAGTAGCATTATTTTACATATTTTTACAAATCTCTTTAATGTCTGGCTTTATAGAAGATGGATTCTCATATCTGCTTCTGCATTCAATCTATTGCAATATATTGTTTTGGTTGACATATATGAAGAAAATCTAGCCTCAGATATGAGGTTGAAAAAGGGAAGAGGATTTTAATTAGGCAAGTAATATCTCAGTTATTATTATAAAATCACAGACTCTTCCTTTAAGGGTTTTAAAGACCCTCAAGGGTCCCCACACCATACTTTGAGAACCAGTGGTCTAGAGTGCTAAAGTTTTGAGTACCTGTATGATTTCTGCCTTCTATATAATTCTGAGCTGCCCTTTATATAATAATGGCATGCAACAGTTGTATACACAGTTCGGCCTTAATAAACTTAGAACCTATCTATCCTGGAAATTATTCCTCTATTGAAGAACCTTACTTATTCCTTTTAGGTACCCTTCCTCAAAAACCTTGCTTCTTAGACCAGACCCTTTTTTCCTAACATTTTTAAATTACCAAATAAAACACAACAGGCTTTAAAAAGGCTGTGGAAGTTTCTTTGCACCTTCTGAAAGTTACATTTGCCACCACCACAGTAGAAAAGAAAACCAGGAATGCCTCCAAAAGTGGCTCCTGCCACCCTGGGAAGAAGTTAGCAATAATTTACTGGTGTTCCCTCTGTGAAAAGTGGCTTTGCTAGAGATATTAGGTCAATGGAGGAGGAAGAATGTGGAAACTCTTGGTAAGACAGCATACCTAATGTTACTAGTTATCCTAGGAAAAAATAAAATGCCTACTTTATAAGAGCCGATAATGATTCTGTGTCTATAAGAATTTTATATTGATCAAGGAAAGTCACTTATTCATCTGGAAGAAATCTGTTTTTTGTGCAATATAATTAACTGTACTGTTAAGGTCCTGAACTAAGAAAGACTGTACTTAATAGTTACTTAGTGTAATTTTTTTCCATTTATTTTATTTAGCAGACATGGATCTGCCAAGCTCTACACAAGATCCCAAGACAATAGAAGATAATTCTCCTGTCTATGTTGGTAGAGAAGAAGACATTAAAAAATCTCAAAGAATGACAGCTGTAGTCCATGACAGAGAAGTTGTCATTTTCTTTCACAAAGGAGAATATCATGCTATGGACATTCGCTGTTACCGTAAGATTTTTACGTATGTTCTCTTTGTGGTTATATAGTTAACTATGAAACTATTTTTGTTGACCAGATGTTGTATTCACTTATATTTCAGATTCAGGAGGACCTTTACATTTGGGAGAAATAGAGGTATGTACAAACCCACCTTCAATAACCTGATTATTTTTTCTATTTAATTTCTTAATATTTTCATTATTTAGCATTTTGTTAATCTTTTGGCTTTCAAAACTAGTAGGGAACATAAAAATTATATTTTACTTTAGAATATAATATTTTCAAACTCATATTACACAATACATAAGCCATATTTTTAAGATTCAACTACAGAAGAGTTTGAAAACTGTCCAGCATTCTTATTCTGCCCCTTTTCTCAGTTCTTGTTGTTCCCCTCTACTCCATACGAAAAGTGAGCAGCGCTACCTTTCCTCCTCATGCAAGGTTTCATCTCAACTTTCTATCTGTCTGGTTCATCCTTAACCTAGATGTGAGCTTAGTAATTGAGTGTTATTAAGAAATTGCTAGATATTAGGGCAGTGTGATAGATGGTAAATTCACAACTTTCATTTAGAATTTATTCCATAGCTAATGCTGGCTATTAGACCAGGTGGATGAAATTTGAAGGGCATCTTAATTAATGTTCATGTTAGGCGTGATGTTCATGTCCATGTTCAAGCATAGAACTATGCCCAAGCTATAGAGTTTTCTCTCACTCTTCCAGAGTTGTTAACATTCCTCCTTTACATGTTGTCCTATAGGGGCCCTAGAAGTCACAAGGTCCTTCTGTTACCTGGCCCTCCCATTTTCTGTTTCTTACTTAGACTCACATTGAAACTAGAAAATTGAGTCATAATTCAAGTAGCAAGTGGAGCTTGTTTTCATTCTTGTAACCTCTTGAAGGTGAAAAGGAATAGAGCATTTTGTATTATCTAAGGACTTCATTTTTTTTTTGCTTTATAAATACTTAACACTTTTTAATGCTTTACAAATGCAACATTTAAAGTATCTTTAATGGGTAAGATATTTCTCCAACAGATAGATTTCTCAGTATCACACATTGGTTCTGTAGTGGAACTGGGAATAAAAATCTATGAATTTCATTTTGAATTTTGTAGTGTGAGGAGGAAAAAGAAAAGGAACAAGCATTTAGTAAGCGCTTACTGTGTGCGAGGCACTGTGCTAAAAGCTTCTCAAATGTTTTCTCATTTGATCTTCAATAATCCTGGGAGGTAGGGGCTATCATTATTCCCATTTTACAGTTGAGGAAACTGAAGTAGACAGAGGTTAAGTGACTTGTCTAGAGTCACACAGCTTAACCTATCTGACATCTGAGGCCAGATTTGAACTCAGGTCTTCCTGACTTTAGGACTAGCATTCTATCCATAACCTAGCTGCCTCAGTTGAGTTCATTCAGTAAACATGTATTGAACATATGTTATATACCGTATATCCCAGGTACATGGTTAGTACTTATGACCTAAAACCAAGATTTACTAACTAAATGTAAAAACACTTTGAAGATCTCTTATTTCAGGGAGAAAATTGTTCAGGTACTTCTAGCACATATTTCATGGTAGTATGTGATAGTTTCCTATTACATACCATAAAAATCTTTGTTTCATTCATTTTGGCATTTATGTTTCAGATGGGTGATCAACTGTCAAGAGCTTTTTAAAAATAATTTCAATATAGTAATTCTTTTTTGTGTGGTTTTATTAATAATAGCTGACTTTTATATAGTTCTTTAAACTTTACAAAACACCTTATATACATTTTATCATTCGATCCTAGCAAAGACCCTGTGAAGTATGTACTATTATCCTCATTTTACAGATGAGGAAATCAAGGCTCATAGAGGTAAGTGACTTACCCGTGGTTACAAAGCTAGTAAAGTGTCAGAGGTAGGATTCAAAACTAGATTTCTCATGACTCCAGGCCCAACACACTTTTCGCTACGCTTATAAGTAAAGTTAGATCTCTATTAGAATATAAGCTGCTCCCCAATTGATAAACAGTCAGAGGATATGAATAGGCAGTTTTCAAAGGAAGAAATCAAACCCATCAATAGCCATATTAAAAAAATGCTCTAGGGTCAGTTAGGTGGCACAATAGGTAGAATACTGGCCCTGGAGTCAGGAGGACCAGAGTTCAAATCCGGTCTCAGACACATAATACTCATTAGCTGTGTGACCCTGGGCAAGTCGCTTAACCCCAGTTGCCTCACCAAAAAAAAAGTTGACAAAAAAAGTTCTAAATCACTAATAGAGAAATGCAAATTAAAACAACTCTGAGATACTACCTCACACCCCCAGATTGGCTAAAATGACGAAAAAAGGAAAATAACAAATGTTGAAAGGGATGTGGGAAAATAGGTACATTAATGCTGTGTTGGTAGAGCTGGTCTAACCATTCTGGAAATCAATTTGAAACTATGCCCAAAAGGCTATTCAGTTATACATAACTTTTGTTGCAGCAATACTACTTTTAGGGCTATACCCCAAAGAGATTAAAGAAAGAGGGAAAGGACCCATATGTACAAAAAATATGTATAGCAGTCCTTTTATGGCAAAGGATTACAAACTGAGGATGCTTATTAATTAGAGAATGGCTGAACAAGTTATGATATTTGAATGTGATGGGATACCATTATATTATAAGAAATGAACTAGATGGTTTCCGAAAAACCTAGGAAGAACTGTATGAACTGATAGAAAATGAAGTGAGCAGCACCAGAAGAAAAATTTATACAATAACAGCAATATTGTAAATATAATCAACTTTGAAAGACTTAGTAACTCTAATCAACACAGTGACCCACCACAATTCCAACATACTTGTGATGAAGCATGCTATCCACCTCCAGATAGAGAACTGATGGACTCAGAATGCAAATTAAAGTAAATCAAGTCTCTGCAAGAAAACCCAAACAATTCAAGCTGCTTGGAGGCATGAACTGCTATGTTAGTGTTTGTATCTTCAGCGCCTGGTACAGTGCCTCACAGGTAGTAGGCATTTAGTAAATACAAGTTAATTTAGCTTTTATTTAAAAAATCTTGTTGCCTTCCTACTCACCTCCTGTCAGAGAGATGATAAGACTCAAGATGCAGATTGAAATATACATTTCTGAACATGACTAATGTGAGATTTTGTTTTGCTTGACTATTCAAATTTGATAAGTTTTGTTTTTCCTTTTTTTTTCAATTAGTGATCGGTGGGAGGAGAGAAAACAAATGTTTGCTAGATGAAAAAAAGTAAAATAAAATAAAAATTACATTAAAAAATCTTTATGTTTAATGTGAGAATTTGAGATTCTAAAATGTTATATCTGCTTCATCATTTTCTTCCCCAGGATTTTGATGGACAAGCATGTATTGTTTGCCCCTGGCATAAATACAAAATTACTTTATCAACAGGAGAAGGACTGTATCAATCTATAAACCCTAAAGATCCATCAGCAGTACCCAAATGGTGTTCCAAAGGAGTAAAGCAAAGGACCCATACTGTGACCGTGAAAAATGGGCATATTTATGTGACTCTTTCTAAGGCTTCAGATTTTAAGTGTGATTCTGATTTCTATGCCACTGGAAAATTTAAAGTAATTCAAAGACCCTCTACTCTGAAGAAAGTTCCTGATTTCAAAAATATATGACAATAATGAAGCAAAATATTTTTGTATGTATGGAAAGTATTTTAGAAAATTCTGTACAAAAAGCAATAAATAGAATTAACATGGTATAAATGTATCATAAAAAAATGATAACTCAGAGAAGCATAAACAGGAATGTAATGTGAAACAAAATCTATGACACATTCTTCTTATCAGAATACTCACTGACATAACTTTGCTTAAAAAAAACCAAAAAACAAAATAAGATGTACCTCAGGAAACTGGAAATGAAGTAAATGCCTTTTAACTTCAACTGATTGAAACAGAAATTAACATAATGGAATTAATATTAACATAGAGAAGCATAAGAAGACATAGGAAATGATTTCAGCAGAACCAGGAAAACAGTATACATAATTAGTACAACAATGTAGATCGAAAGAACAGCAACAACAACAACTAAAAAAATCTAAAGTAAATGCTGAGTAATTATAGTGATCAAACTTAACCCCCAAAAGAGATATGAGGATGCTCTTCCTTTCTTTCTTTGCAGAGTCAGGAGACTGTAGGTGCAAAACATTGAGTAATGTCACTTTTGGTTGATATGGTGATTGATTTTGCCAAACTTTTTTCTTTTTTCCCATTTTTTCTTTTTTATTATAAGAGATGATTCTCTGGGTGGGAGAGGGAAAAGATATACTGAGGAATACAGGTCTTGTAAGAACAAAATACATCATTTTTTTAAAAAGTAAAATAAAAGATGTACAGAAAATGGAAGCAAGGGCACTTATCAGAGGATTAATGCAAAAGCATGTCATGGTCCTTTAAGTTTGGGAAACTGAAGCTCGGAAAGATCTGAGGCTGGAAAGGAATGCTAGACATAACAGAAAGGGATTTGTTACATTTTGTTTAATCCAAATTGAGAAGAGGAAGCTCAAAGATAGGACCAGTATTCTAGTGAGCTGGGGCCCTGATAACAGATGGCACAAGGAGAGCAGAACTGTTCAATTCTTGTGTTTGTTTTCTCTACTAAGGACAATGATCTTTGGACCGGAAAAGGATAGAACAAAAGTATGATAGGAAGTTGAAACCCAAGATAAATAAGAAGATAATAAGAGAAAACAACTAACTGCCGCGGATGAGTTCAAGTGACTTGGCCCAGACACACCTGGGAAGTATCCCAGATTATTGTGATATTACTGTTGAACCATTGTTAGTGCTCTTTGAAAGAGTATAGAGAACGTGAGAGTTGCTGCAGGACAAGGAAGAACAAATGGCCTGGTGGGGTTTTTTGTTTGTTTGTTTGTTTCTTTTCTTAAGAAAAAAAATGGAATTGATTCTGGTTGTAAACTGAAAGGTGATGAACTTGGCTCAAATTCCTGGGAATTTTCCAGAATTTATTACTAAAAGAATGGGTAAGGAACTTCTAGGCCAGTTAAATGGCACATTGGATAGAGCACCCAGCCTAGAGTCAGGAAGAACTGAGTTCTAATTTGGCTTCAAACATTTACTAGCTGTGTGACCCTGGGGCAAGCACTTAATCCTGTTTGCCTCAGTTTCTTCATCTGTAAAATGAGCTGGAGAAGGAAATGGCAAACTAGTCCAGGATCTTTGTCAAGAAAACCCCAAATGGGGTCACAAAGAATTACACACGACTAAAACAACTGAACAACAACAAGGACCTTCTAGAAAAGGAATTAGTAATCACATGTATTTATTTATGTTAATCCCAAAGGTTAAAGATACAACATAAAACAAGTGTAGCTCATCGGCAAGATAGTGACTTTGGAATCAGGGGACTACCTTTAACTCAACTCAATTCAATTCAACAGTATTTATTAAGCACTAATAGTGCTAGGCATTGTGCTAGGTGCTAGGGATACAAAAACAAAAAATGAAACAGTTCCTATCCTCAAAGAGCTCACGTGTACCTGTGATAAGCAGCATGAGTATTATTTGTGGCCTTAAATTTGAATGATTTCTCTGTAACCTATAAGTAATGCATTTTAAGCTTTGAAAATATACTTTAAGAATATGAAATGGAGGTCACCTTAAGTGTTAGCATTAATCTACTTCATTTTTTCTTTTAAAGTTATAAAGTTAATTAGTTTTATGTATTTGATTACATACAAGATTTGAACTTCATAATCATAATAGCTAGCATTTATATAGAACTTACTGTATGTCAAACATTACACTAAGTACTTCACAAGTATGATATAATTTGATCTTCACAGCAACTCTAGGAGGTAGATTCTAATATCCCAATTTTACAGATGAGGAAACTGAGGCAAACAGACTCACAAGTTAAATGACTCTCCCAGTAAATCCAGTCTCATACACTTACTACCTGTGTGAATCAGTCAGGGTCATATAGGTAATAAGTGTATGAGATTGGATTTAAACCTCAGGTTTTCCTAACTATAGGTCCAGCTCTCTATACACTATATCATCTAGCTACCATAAAGCTGTGTATACAAATAAACTTATCCATACAAATTAATTGTAAATGTAATATTTTATTATTAAATAGTATGAGCACCCGAGAATCTCAAGTGTTTGCTTCTGCGTTTTTCAGATTGAGAAAGTGAGGCAGAAAGTAATTATTAATGACAAAATAGTCTTGGACTATGAAGCTTGTGAATACTCATATACTCATTGTCTTTATAAAAAGGATTATGAGGGATTTTGTTAGTTTATAAAACTCCATTAAAATGTTTAAAAATAATTTCAGTTATTAGAAAGATATTCAAAAGAGATTTCAAAAATATAGATTTATTATAAAAGGACCCACAGTCTAGGCTGTGCTATAACACACACAATCTACTAAATTAATATTGATTTGTTAAAGTGAAGATTTACACTGATTTCTATATCTATGTTATTTTCTCTTTTTCATGCTGAAAACCACTTGTACGTATATATATATATAAAACGGTTCAGTTTATTTTTCTTCTACATAGCACTAGAGAATGACATTTTGTAGCAATTTCTTTGTTTACAAGTAGGGTATTCAATATATCTACTTTTTTCCCATTTTCAGATTAAATGTACCTTCAGATAGCATTTAAGCTCCATTTTAAAAAGTCATTTTTGTATTCATATTATTCATTCACTTGAGTTGATTGGTCAAATACAGAATGTAATACTTGAATCTTGTCGCTCAACTTAATATCAGGAAGCTTAACATCAGAAAGGAGAACTGTGTTTGGGTTCTCCGGCAGAGATCTATAAGGCTTAGCTATGATTTCATGTTCACAAAACACAGGCTCAGAAAAGGCTTTTCTGACTTCAAAACTATCCTTTTTGTTTTGCCTTATGGACTCTTCTTCTTGAAAAATATTCTTCACCTTCTCCAGCAATGCATTAATACAGACTGTCTATGTAATAAAAAGAAAAATCTATTTTACTTTTAAATAACATTTTTTTTAAAGTTAGCAATCTATATATTCCAATAACAACTTCAGAATTTATGCTTTCATGATTTGTTAAAGAAAATATTTTCTAGGTGATTGAATTAGTTTCCAACTAATACTATAAAGTAGAATTCTTTATAATACCGTTGGAATTTTCTGCATATAGGTAATAACTGTCTAGTTTAGAGTAGCATAATTTGAAAAGAGTATAGATCATTTGGAGAAGAATTCAATAAGACAATAGAGCAGTGATTTCCAACCCCAATTTTTGTGGTACCCCAGACTCATTATCTCAAAGAATATCACTAAAATTCTTTTAAAATTATTTTAATCTGCTTATCCCCTCCAAATCCAGAAGTCTCACTCACAAATAAATTTATCCTACATGGCACTTATATCAGGAAGTATGTATGAAATAAATACAAAATGTTAGAGTTTTAACAATTTCGCAAAAAGTTGGGAAACACAGATCTGTTATGTTTATCTTGTATAGTACAACATACAAATGAAACCTAAATATTTGTAGAGTACAGCAAGTATTCAAGGAAATTAACGATTCAGCTCAATTTAACAAGTATTTCTTAAGCAACTTAAACTCTGAAAGGAACTATTCTATCACATAGAGCTACAACGATATAAAGAATGGTCCCTGCCCTCAAGGAGCTTAAATTCTACCCGGAAAGCTGCATGTAAACAGATAAATAAATGGCAAATAGCAAGATCTAATCCATGAGAATCTGGAAGACCCAAACCAGTACAGCTAGGAAAAGGCTATGAACATACTAAAGTTTTTGTAACGTAGCTTATGAACAATTAGAAGGAAAGTGAGATAAGAAGATTTAATTGTTTTTTAACCTAGGTAATACTTTGATAACATGATTAAAAATTGTTTAATTTTACCTCAGAATGTTTGTGGGTTAAAGGCAAACATTTTTAAGTAAACCTTAGGTCCATACAACATACTTATTTTGGGTTAGGTGTACTTAGGTGAGAGGCCTGCTTGCAGCCCATTTGCAGGGGCATATGGTCTCATTCCATTGATTGATAGTGATGGGACTTGGATGGAAATAGGGGATTTAGGAATATGATAACAGGTAAGGTCACAGGTTAAATAAAGGGTGGGTTTATTTTAGTTAGTTCATAGACCATAGAAACCATTGATTTCAAGAGCAAGAAAGGCTTTTGAGATCATTTAGTACACCTCCCCCAATTTTACAGTTGAAGAAACTGAGACCTAAAGACATAAAATGGTTTGCCCAAATTTACACTAATTGATAACAAAACCAGTATTACAGCCAAGATCTCCTGACCCCCAATTCCCCATTCGAATGTCATCCTATGCCATTTTGGGTTGGAATAGATAACCTAGTATATCTTTTACAGATTTGTTTTCCACAATTCTTGGATTTTTAGGTTTGATGCAGAGAAGGAACACCATTCCCCAACCCCATAAAACAAATGGCATGATGGATAACCTGGGAGTTGTGTCATTGATGAACTGTGTGACCGTGGACAAGTAATTTCATCTCTCTGGACCTCAGTTCCTAATCTTTAAAATGAGAAGATTAAACCAGATTATATCTAAAGTCACTTCTAGCTCTGTCATACAATGTTTCACAAGTCAAGCTTAATGAGACTATAGATTAAAAAGGTAGATAGCATACTCTCCTAAGGGTTGTATTTTATATGCAAAAACTTTTAATAAGATATTCAATTCCATTTTCTATCCATTAAATAAAAGAAGCTTTTAGAGTTGTCTTGATTATCCAAAGTGTTGAGGGAACTCTGGTTAATTAAACAATGACAGCTTCTTTTATCTTTTGTGAATTGATATTGGGGATACTGTACTATAGTGCAATTTCAATCTTAGAGGAAACATTTAAATAATACCAGGTCTCTAGAAACTGCCTTTGATAAGACTACTTCAGCAATCTTATTTTCTTTCAGTATACTTTAGATAATATAGATGTTTAGTTAATTAAGATTTGGCTAACAGAAGTTCTACTGTACTATAATTAAGTTGGTATGAAAAGAGGGCCACCATTCTTTCTTACAGTGTGACAATTGAATGAATGCCTAGGTACGTAATACTTATTCTCAAAAAGGCATTTATTCTGGCTAATTAAGGTTGAAATTCCACCCAAATTCTATGCATATTCTAAGTTTAACATAGCATTTGATCTTTATGAAAAAATAAGATGGATATTCACCTTATCTCTTCACCATCACATGAAAGAACTATTGCACTTGGAAGTATTTTATTAACCTACCAAGTAAATTAGTGTTGCATAAGATGCATATATTATGCTTGCAAAGGCAGTTTTTGCTGGAAAGGAGATTACATCTAACAAAGAACCCTTTCTGACCTGTAGGAAAAGGAAAAAAAAAGTAAGGTTTTTTTCTTTTTCTTTCTTTTAAAAAAATTAAAACTTACAAAAGTTAAGCCTTGTGTGGAGTGTAAAATGAGGCTTTTTATCATTTACTCCTAGAAAAATCATTCTACCACAAAAGAAGACATTCAATTGGGAACAAATGAATATATATTAAGTGCTTTGCAAGCCTTAAGCACTCTCTCTATGTGCTTTATGGGTCAGTTACTATTATTATTTTAAGTTGTTTGGCTGGAACTCAGGAGGTGTTTTCCCCTGGAAACATTGTTATAAATAATGATTAGGTCTTAGGCTAGCCCACAAAAGGTCTTTTAACCTATCATGCAGCTATGGTAATATTACTGGGCTGAGTTCTGGATCCTGGAAGTGCATGGAGGAAGGCATGCAACATAGGAGATGAAGAGGAAGAGTTGTCTTCTTTACCAGGGCCATCCCTAGGCAAAATTTTGAAACAGAAAAGATTTGCCTCTGGAATCCTCATACCTTTTTTTCCCCCCATGATCCCATTGAATGCCCTTCTAGTGTCTTTTCCAGGTCCTTAGGTACCCAGAGCTACCATGCCTAACAAATAGTACATTCCTGCCCCTCCCTCAAAACAAAGGGTGGGGATGCTCCTGTGTTTAGTGGTCACTAGGATTAATCTCCTAGATGTCTAGAAAAAGCCATGGATTGAATGAAATTTCACTTATGTGAGAATGACTGATAGCCCCCCTAATCCTCCACAAGGTATTTGCATTTAAAAGAGGTTCCTTTTAATTCAAATGGTTTTTCATTGATGAACTTTCAGTAGTCCCACAAAGGTGTATAGATATAGTATGCCCAGTTTTTTAACAAGGTGCTTACAAAACTTTACACAATATCCTCATAGAAAAGAGAAAACTACATGGCCTGAATATTAAGTAGGTACAGTAAGAATCCAGAGATGAATGAATGCTGTCAGTCAATGAGTGATGATTAACGGCTTGATGTCAACTTGAAGAAAAGTGTCCAGCAGAGTGCTACACCTAGTACTATACTTGGCCTCTTCTAGTCAACATTTTGGTAGTCTTAGATGGAAATTACATCCTACTTGACCTTCTTGAATTCAATCTCTTCCTTTCCTTCTATTCATCCTCCATTAGATTGCCAAAAAATGATATTCCTAAATTGTAGGGCTGATTGTTACCACCTTGCTCAAGATACTTTAATGACTTCCCTTTGCTTCTAGGGTTTTAAATTTCCTCTATTTGACATTCATTCCCATTCATATTCTAGATCCAGCCAGCTTTGGGGGACTGATTACTCATTACCCTTCCTGAGGCACTTTATACAGCCAAACTAACCTACTTGCTATTCTCCATAATTGATATTCCATCTCCAGCCTCTGCCAGGGTAGCAAAGGGCTACCCTGATGTCTAGAATGCCCTCCCTCCTCACTTTCACCCCGAGCTCATTTTAAGGGTCTGGTTAAATGCTACCTTCTTTGAGGGTTGGCCAGATGACCTCTGAAATTCCTTCCAGCCCTAACATTCCATGATTCTACGAACTCACAGATTCTCTAAAAGCTCCATGATTTTTCACAATGGGCTCCTATGGCAGCAGCACTGGGAACAATGGTCATGGATTGAGAACCATGCTTACCTGTGTATTGGTTATTTGTGAGCTAGGGAGAAACTTAGTCTTGGGTGATGCTCTTTTTTTTTTTCAGGGGGAGGGAAGAGGAATGAGTAGGAGAGGAATAGATAAAATATTGCTATAAGAGACTATGAAATTACTTGGGACTTGGGAAAATAAGGCCTGTATGCTTTAATTGGTTTTGATACATTTTTCAAATAGAGCTGTGAGAAACGTGGTTTAGTCATTCCTTGGTAGAGTTAGGGGTTTAGCCCAAGCTTGCAGCTGCAACTCACCACTCCCATAGAAACATACCATGCGGAGTTGTTCCTTTCTCCCTTAAGAAACAAAACTAACGCTGAAATGAGCAAAGGGGTGTTTATTTATTTACAATTCTTGTAAGAAGCATGTGTGGGATACCCCCCCAAAAAAGAGAAAGGGACATACATACACCAACAGATGGCAGAGCAAGCCTTTTATGCAGTTAGTTCCTTCTTGTCTCTCCCTTCAGAGCCAGGATTGGTCCCTGGTCTTCTGAGTTACAATCTTCCTGATACTCCCACTTCATAACATGCCCCTATGAAATGTGCCTAGTTCTGTGCTATTGCTCCCGGGGTGGAGAGGTTAGTATTAATGAGGCCATTACGCATGCACACTCTAAGTAAAGTTTAACCTTTGTTCTACTTCCAGCCTCTTAACCAAACAACCAGTTTCATCCATTTTCATTTGGTTCTAGAACCTCTAAGCTACTTTTTCTCTCACTTTCCTTATATGGAAACATAATCGTTTCTTACCTCTCACAGACCTATTATTTGGCAAACTGAAGTGAGATAAGATTTAACTATATTTTATATTTAATAAATTCTGTCTAATTGAGAAATTATTAGCATACTAGGTATTATAGTAACACATTATTCACTCTTTATGGGGAGGTATTTTACATTAGTGAATTTTCCAGATAAATAAAGCTTATTTCTCTCAATGACAAAACTTTGTTTATTCTAACTATTTTTCATGGAAATCTTTTGAAAACAGATTACATGTCATCTGGCTTTCTTAAGCACAAGATACCATCACTCTTTTCTTGATAACAGTATCATCTTTATGAATATTAAGTGTGTAATGCCTCAGGTACTTTTGGGCTGTACGGGACTGTTTTTGCACATATACTGAATGGTCTCAGAAGACTGAGCTTTTATAATTCTTCCATCTACTTATCTTCCTCCTCTGAACCTGTTGCCTCGTTTTACACACAATTATGTAATTGAAAGCCCTGAGAATAGTTTTGCCTATATCATGAGTGCCTGAGCTTTGGGACAGCTATATTCTGTAAAAAATGCCTTTTTGATTCAAAATATGTGATAAGTTTTTAGATGAAGTAATCCAAGCTATCCATAGCCATATGAAAAAATAACTCACTAATGATGAGAAATGCAAATTGAAACAATTTTGAGGTACTGCCTCATACCTATTAGATTGACTAATGGGACAAAAAAGAAAAATGACAAATATTGGAGGGGATGTGGGAAAAATGAGACATTAATGCACTATTGGTGGACTTGTGAACTGATTCAACCATTCTGTAGAGCAATTTGGAACTATGCCCAAAGGGCTATAAAACCATGTATACCCTTTGACCTAGCAATTCCACTATTAGGTCTATATCCCCAAAGAGATAAAAAACAAAAAGGAAAAGGACCTATATGAACAAATATATTTATAGCAGCTTTTTTCCGGGGGCAAAGAATTAGAAATTGAGGGGATGCCCATTAGTTGGGGAATGACTGAACAAGTTGTGGTAAGTGATTATGATGGAATACTGCTGTACTCTAAGAAATAATAAGCAGGATACTCTCAGAAGAACCTGAAAAAACTTACATGAGCTGATGCAAAGTGAAAGGTACTATGTACAAAGTAATAGCAACATTGTAAGATGATCAGCTCTGAATGACTTAGCTATTCTCAGCAATACAATGATCCAAGACAACTCTGAAGGACCTTATGATGAAAAAATGTTATCCACCCCCAGAGAAAGAACTGATGGTGTCTGAATACAGATTGAAGCATAGTTGGTTTTTTTCACTTTATTTTTCTTGAGTTTTTTTTGTCTATGTTTTCTTTTACAACATGACTGTTATGGATATGTTTTACATGACTGCACATGTATAACCTATACAGAATTGCTTGCCTTCTCAGTGGGGGAGAGGGGATGGAGAGGAAGGAAGAGAGAGAGTTTGGAACTCAAAGTTTTTAAAATGAATGTTGAAAATTGTTTTTACATGTAACTGGGGGAAAAGAAAAAAGTAAATTTTTTAAAATGCTAAAAAAAAAAAAGAAAATGTCTTTTTTAGGTATTTCCAGGTGATGACTTTTTCTAGACTGCTGAAGTGGACAAATGTTAGGCTTTTGGGAAAATTTTAAATTGTCCAGCAACTCCAAGTATTGTTTTCCATTTAAAAAAATTTTAATCAGGCCCTGTTGGTGGTGCTACTCTGCATCTTGGAAAAAAACCTTTTCATTGTTCAAATTAATATTATCGTTCTTAACTGAATTATATACATTTTCAGTTGAACAACTAACAATCACAGCATTTCTAGTATATTAGGGATCTGAGAATGACAAAGAAGAACATTAACTGTAGATGGCTGTTAAACTTCAAAAAATGCCAGGTTTTGTGGAACCCACAAAAAGTACAAAGAGCAACAGTGAAAAGGCCACCTGCAAGTTGTCTCTAATTTCTGGGAACAGTCTCTATTTTGGCATCCTATTTTCTGGCTCAGTCTCACTACTGGAATGCTTTCCATTTCAGGGACTTTTCAAAATTCCTGAATGGAAGTCTTCTGTTCTGTTGGCTACTGTTATAGCTATAGGATTAAACATCAGCATCTTGGGTGTCAGTGAACTTAAATGGAAAGGAATGTTTGAATTTAACTCAAGTGATCACTACCTATACTACTGTGGGCAAGAATCCCTTAGAAGAAATGGAGTAGCCCTCATAGTCAATAACAGGGTGAGAAAAACAGTACTGGGGTAGAATCTCAGAAATGACAGAATAATATCTGTTCAAATCCAAGGCAAACCATTCCATTGATGCTAAAGGGGCCAAAGCTGATCAGTTCTGTAAAAACCTACAGCATCTTCTAGAAACAACAAAAAAAGATGTCACATTTGCCACAGGGGATTGGAATGATAAAAGGAAACCAAAAGATATGGAATCACAAACAAATTTGGCCTTGGAGTACAATATGAAGCATGGTAGAGACTGATAGAGTTTTGAAAAGATAACTCTCTGGTCATAGCAAACACTCTTTTTTGACAGCTCAAAAGTCAACTCTACACATGGACATCACCAGATGGTCAATATCGAAATTGAATTGATTATA